ATTTTGCGAACAAAAATTGCTTATATTTTCTTTTGCCTCATCACCATGTCTGAGATGAACGGTAGCGATAGATGCACGAAGGGTATAATACTCACTACTCATGATAGAAAATTAAATGCAGTCCTAATTACTTAAATTATTAACTGCAGTTCAAAAAATTAAAGCCAAAACCCGAACTCAAATTACGAAATTGTAGTAAATTATATTAAATAAAAGCGAGAGTGTGTATCACAGATACTTGAAGAACGTATGTCTGTCGCGCCTCAAAATCGAGTTTGAAAATTCTCCTCCTGCACGCCGCTGTTGAGAAACCTTTACGATGACTACGAACGCCAATACGCCGCAAAGCATCAACGAATTCTTGGAGTCTTTCAAGAAAATGCGATTATCAGGAATTGATGCCCGATGCTTGTAAGATAGCTGCAAAAAAATAGCAATTTTGAAGCACAATTGCGGGAACAACTTAAACTGGAAAAGTGCGCCCTGAAAAACGCCAAAGAAAGCCATGTTGCGCTGATCAGCGAGATCCAAAAAGCCGCATGCTGCACTGAAGCCTTGCAGAAATGTTTCGTGGGTGCCGAAGTAATTCTACAAACCGAAAAGAATGCGCTGGATCAACTCAAGATTAAGAAAAAGTGTGATTTAGACAGCACGCTCCGACAAACGAGGGAGTTAGCAAGTGAAGCTTGCAAATTAGAGGAGAAAAGAAGCTGTATAGTGAACTAAATTAGTGAGACATAAGCAGCACTTTCGAAGTAAGCAGAGGTGGACGACTTAGAAGAGAAATGCATTGAAGAACTTCAGATCGAGAAGGAATGTCTTGAAAAGAAGTTGTGCAGCATGCGAAAAGAAGTGGAATGTGCCTAACAACAAGTTGTCAACGAAGAAATTAGTCTGAGCGAATCGGAATAGAAAATTAGAGCTATCGATGGGATCTTGAGGAACATCCAGGAGCAAAGTTCCTCCAAGACTGCGAAAAGGATACTTGTCGAGGAAACGATTGCCGACTTGGCGGGAACCCGTAAAAAGTTTCTTGCTGAGTAATCAAAACTTGAATCCCAAACCCGGGAACTGATTGCATCTGCTCAGGAGAAGGAAACGAAGATCGAGGGCATCAAGAACAAGACTGAAAATATAACAAATGAAGCGGAGTTTCAGTCCAAAACTTTAGCGTCAGTTACAGGAGCATTGATAAATTTGAACACAAACGTATTGTCTACTTGGATGCTATGTGATGACTGCAAACTCAAGCCTGAACACCGGTCCCGATGATGGTCCCTTTGATGGTCCCTCCGATGGTCCCTCCGATGGTCCCTCCGATGGTCCCTCCGATGGTCTCTCCGATGGTCTCTCCGATGGTCNTGAAGCAAAATTTATGAACTACACTGGCCTCTTTGAGAACTTGAGCTTTTTGGCAGGGGCCATTGTTTGATATTTTGCCAGGTTTTCTTCTTCCTTAAGAATATTTTCATCGTGTCGCTTTATTTATTCATCGTGTCGCTGCTCGGGAATAAGTTACCGGTTGGAAGGGCTGAGCAGAGACTCACAGAGCTCAGCGCCTTCGTAATCTCTCACAAAATCGACAGCAATCCTTTTTTGGGGATTCAAATTATCCTGATTATCAGTCTATGTAATGGAGAAGGATCGCTTCCTTCGTCCATCGGTGTTGAAGTTATTGCGGGCATCTTCTATTTGATATTTTGCCAGGTTTTCTTCTTCATGAAGAATATTTTCATCGTGTCGCTTTATTTATTCATCGTATTGCTGCACGGCCTTTCCTAGAGCTCCTATTCGAGCTATTGCATTAGCTCTTAATTCTGTAATTTTTTTTCGTTGTTTCCTTTCTTCATAAATGATATTTTAACATACTTTACGCCTTATTTTGGCGTTTTCTTATTCTTCTTGCGTGTAGCCCATTTTCAGTTTTGGAAGGCACATTGCAATTCGTGATCACCAGCGGCTTATCAGGCAGAGTGGGTATCCTGAATACATTGCATTGAAGTCAAAAATGTTCAAGAAAATACCTTTAAAAATCGTTTATTCTATATCAAATTCTGAAAATTACTTATTATTTGTGATTTCGTCAAAAATTGTTCAGTATAATCAGTTTTACATCAATCGCGAGGTACTCTCGTGTAAATAATATTAAATATCACGGATTAATATTAAATATCCGTTTAAACTCTTATCTCCCAGCACCCCAATAAAATGTCTCTTTAATAGTTTTGTAATTCGTTGCTATTCTTTCACTAGGAATAAAATTATATCTCGGGGGATGCCACAAAACGAAAAGTATCGTAGATACGCGCTCACACATGCTCTATATATCCCCAGCTCCGGACTTCTAACACGTAAATACGTCCACAAACTATCGGAAATATATGATATGATTAGGATGCCAACTGCAGGTGAAGACTTCCACTCTCAATGTAAATGGATCTAAGCTATTTAAACAAATATCAATCTAACTTTTCATCGCATCAAATTTTCCTTTGTGCGAGGCAATCGTAATTCCTCATTTTATTCATACTACCTAAGGATAGAAGGCTCATGCCCTTATTAGAGCAAAATTAGCAGAAATTGAAAAATTAGACATAATTAACAATATTGTTATTTAATTTCAACAGATATATTGGCACTTGTTTGGCATTTTTAACAACATAAAAATTGAAATTATAACTTGTGAGTTATACTTTCATGTTCCCTATACTTATAGTTCCTTATACTATAAGCCTCGAAAGGTCGACACTCGACACTAAATTATAAAAAAGCTCCTGGTAGAAACTCGACATAAAAATCTTACCAAGGGACTGTTGAACTCCAAACATAGCTTTTGTAGCAGCGCGAATTGAAAATTAAAATCAAAATACAGTTCAATTTTCAAGATTATTTTTCTTAGCTTTTCTATGAGTCTCGAGCCTCCAGCGATTGCGCAACTGCAGAATGATGGAAAAATTCAACTGGAAGGTTACCAGGCTCAATCCGCGGATCAAGATGTGCAAAGTCCATTACCATAACAGATGTAATTTAAATATGAAGATGGTTTTCTCGGAGGCCTTAAATCTCAATTATTTCATTAAAGAAATTTTGTAGTACATCTACGGATTTCTTGTCCGTTCCTAGCAACAGTTTTCGATAGGGATGCAGGGTTCAAATAGATGCTCATTATCCAATAAAACCTATTCTAAAGCTCTTCAAGCTTGGAGTGTTTCATCATACGAGCGGTTCTCGTTTCTAAATACTTTTAATCCAACAAAATGTTTCCTTGAATACAGCATGGATGCTGGTTTATCGGTTTAAATTAAAAGAGTGCTCTCTTCAGTCTTTTGTGATGGTGATCCAGAGAAAGAATACCGAGTTGACCCCTATAGAGTCCATAGGTGAACTTCTAGAGATCAACGGAGTTGACTCTAAACCTGCGGTGCGTCATGCTTAGCGGCTTCAACGCTCTATTTCGATTTTTGTACCAGATCCCTGAGCGATCTGAACTGTAAGCAATGTGCCACCAATGAATAACGTGTTTCTTCATTGAGATATATATCATTTGGTGACGTCCTTATACAATTTTTATAAAAAATTGAAGAAAATCAATGAGCTTTCTTATAAATTTATTGGGCTCAAACTGTGATCATACTCCAAACAATTCAAGATGAGGAGCCTCAGCGCACGGACAATTGTGACTGAGTGTTTGCATTGCGCTTCAAGTCGATGCTCTGAATTCACATAAAATTTCGACTAAGATGATCGCATTGAAACAAACTCGAACAATGCGCTAGCATGCCCGCTGAAAATGTATGATGGCAGTTTTGGAAAAATCCTAACCAACCCTAGTTACACACAACTACATCTAAAATTCAAATTTCAAGTGCAAAACCACATGTGTGACAACTTATCATATTCTACTCACAACTTAAGATCGATTTATTGCGTTCTTCGTGAAAGCAACTGAACAAAGTCGACAAGTTTACTGATAAATATCTGCGTTACATTCATTATAACTGAGGACTTGATACATTTTTGCACATACGTCAGTGACAACAAGAACGAATAGTGGCAAGAATGCGTAAATCCTCCTCCATAACGTCCATGTGACGATCAAATTATTTCAACCCATATCAACAAGTCCCCCTCAATAAAAACATTCTACCAAAAAACATTTCGCCAAAGAACTGCTGGAAAGAAAAATATTGTAAAAGTGGAATAAAGATAGTACGACAGTTTATTGTCCCTAATTCAATGCATACTTGGATTTTGACACTAATCATCATAGAAGCGGTTGCAAAATTACGTAACTATGGCGAGTAAATCTTGAATATCATGGGTTTAGCCAAGTCAAACCAACGTTTCGTTGTCCACACTAACAGAAATAAATAGCTCATTATGTTCGGAAAAACATTCACACCAAGACTCATTAAGCAGTAATACATCTTAGCAAGTACAACACAAATTTCACATCTGCTTAATTCAAACTGGAATTGCAGCATAACAGAGTTATTCCATCATAATCTCAGTTAGATCTAATTACTAAGTAAACTTTTTCCCAATTTTTATTCATGATTCAAATTTAATGAACATGAATTACATATTTAGCAAACAGCTTTGCACGAAACAAAATTAGGGCTTTTATCGTATCAAAGCTTCTTCATACCAAACCAAACCGCCACCAGCTTAAAGTTTACATGTCACGAGGAATGATACGAACTAAAATAGAGCTTTCTTGAATACTTTCTTTCTCTTGCCTTGATGAATATACTGAAGTTGCTTAATACCCCCAATAGGGATGTAACGAGGATGTGATATTTATTAAAAATGATGTCGATTTCATACAAAATAGAAGAAAAATATCCGATTGCCGAAGACAATTAGCGCAATACCTTCACCTTGATCAACATAAAATGAACAGAGGTAGTGCCATAGAAAGAAATAGAGGCAGGTGTGAAGCTCAACAATGACAGAGTTAAGAATTTGAGGCAAGAATGGTTGCACGATGATGACAGAAGTTAATAGTGCAGGGCAATAGTGTATGTCTGAGCGATGTTGATGTCAGGCTTGCGGATGATGAGCCGACTAGCCACTCCGTCCCGCGCTGCACTGTACGAGCCTTCCAGGGACACGACCTTACCACCTGAGCCAACAATCACCGTGTCAAAACATAAGCCGAACAATCAATATTATTCAAATTAAAAGTTCGAACGTGGAAACTTGTATTATAATCCAGTTACAAACGGATATTGAACAATATTTGATTTTGACGTAAGAAATAGAGTACCTTAACTTAGCCACCATGTAATAAAAAGTATTCAAATTTTACAACTGTCCCAAGATGAGCAATTTTCTAACAATATTCATACGATAAGCCAATCTGATATAAGAAATACAAATAATTCCAGTTACAAATAAGAAGTTACTTGGATTAAATAACTTCATATAATAAATTATAGGACTCTACATAAATAAAATAATAAGAGCAGGCCTCATTGAACCAGACCAATACTTTTACAACGTGTAATCGTAAGCTCACATCAAAAGTAACGTAAGACTAACCACACGACTCACCTTTCAGCGTTAGAGTAACTTTAGTAGGTGGCGTAGCAAGGCCCAGCACGACAACCCTCTCCAGCCAGCTCTTGGTGGAGTAGGTGGGCGATTGAGGCTCCACCACTGAGCTGCTCAGCTCATTCTTGCTGAACTTCAGCTGTATGTACAGATACTCATTCTGTCAGAGGAAAAATGTAAAGTTAATTGTTCCACTCGCACCAAGTGAGTCATTGGACGGAATAGTTGCACCAAAAACATCACGTATCCGTAAAAAGCAATTTTAACCACTAACCTAACTCTTCTCGAGGTCTGAGAAAAAAACACGAAAGTTAGCAATGCGAGAGGAGTGCAAAAAGCGACAACAAGCGTATCACGTGACATCACTGCCGAACAAAGATTTTATTTCACGTGAAGCACGACTATGCTTGATGTGTTAGGTCTTCATTATAAAATATGATTACTAGTTGCGGTCTCAATAAACTTGAAATGTAATTTTCAAATTTTTTTATGACTGCGGGAGAAGGTGGGAGCAAAGTACTCGCTTTTGCAATGTGCAGTAATGCCAAAGATATACAACCATTCCTGAATATATTTTACCAGAAAACAGGACTCGCGACACATTATGAAAAAATTGTTTTAAACGTAGTCTTCACAATGAAAATTACTGGCTATGGCTACGATTGCAATTATTTTGATAACAGGTCCTCATAATTGATGTAGCTACCATGTGAAGCGAATCATACCTATGATCAAGCACCATCATATAAACATGACCAGTTGTCTCAAGAGTTGCTTTCTTGTACAACACAATTAATTTCTATTACTTGCTAAAGATGCCAGTTATCACAGCCGAGGAACCACTAATCAGTTAATATTTGACATTCTGTCTATTTATTTCTGGTTGGGTTTTCCTGAAATATTTACATACCTAAATTATCAGTAGTCTGCTAGTATCTGTTAGCAATTGAGTTGTAAAAACCAGTGCATGCCAAACAAGAACCGCTCGTGTTATTGTTCCTTACAAATGTAACAACGTAGATAAGATTCTTCTCATCAACGTTTTCATCAAACAATTCAACGCAGACGTGTTGATAACATTTGTGGTTAGATTAAATGTTTTGTATACTTCATTTAATCATTTTGAGATCGTAGTTCAGCACGATCATGTTTGACGGCTGCGCTACGTAACGCCTGCACGCACGTTCTTATATCCCGTGGTGTGTTCGTCATCAATGTAGAGGTCGCCAGCTGCGTTGCCGTCCTTATCAAGCGCGACGATGAGCGTGTAGGGGTCATCTCGCATGAGCGCTGACGAGCGTCGTACACGCTCCTTCCGGGGCACGATGCTGCCTTCCCGTTGGAATACGGGGATCTGATGAAGCCAAGTGCGAAGCCGATTATAAAACATAATGGCATTGGATTAAATACGAGCTCTGATCAACCAGTTGTGCTATCATGTTATAGGCATGGAAGAAATTATTACTTGATCGGTTGCAGCAGGTGTTCATAATATTTTCATGAAGAAATTGAATTATAATCTTGAAATTATTTATAGCTACAGAAATTAAGCTATAAATGAACTAGCCACAAACTAAAACTGGTATATGAAGAGGAACAAAGTTCAATATTTATATTGCAAGCAAATTCACCGAGAACTACGTGAAGTACGTGCAAACGCATTGCTGTTAACTACGTGAAGTACGTGCAAACGCATTGCTGTNTAGTATCAACTACACGTACGAGTAACATTATAGTATCAATTACACGTACAAGTAACATTATAGTATTAACTACACGTACGAGTAACATTTTAGTATCAACTACACGTACGAGTAACATTATAGTATCAACTACACGTACGAGTAACATTATAGTATCAATTACACGTACAAGTAACATTATAGTATTAACTACACGTACAAGTAACATTATAGTATCAACTACACGTACGAGTAACATTATAGTATCAACTACACGTACGAGTAACATTATAGTATCAATTACACGTACGAATAACATTATGAAGACAGAATCATTAGTCCACAGGTCGGCAGGACGCTGTAGGACTAACCTTCTCAGGCGGCACGTTGACGGAGGCGGTGCCGGGGCCTTGCACAGCCGAATTATCCACGACGTCATACCAAATGCCGGCAGGGAAATACACCGACAATACCGTCGCTCCTGATTAAAATAAAAGTTTCAAATAAGATAAATTAACTCTTGCTCATCTCGTACAGGATTAATATGTGGGTTTGGTAGGGTGGAAAGTAAATAGAATGAAGAAGGGCGTGATTAACGTCTAATATGATTTTAGAGCTTACCGTAGTTTTGCTGACAGGGGAAATATAAATGAACTTATCCACAACAACAATCATCAGCAAACGAAGTCTTTTGAAAGAACTAAAAACTTGAAATGAACATTTTACTCCCCAAAAAGTTAACAATTTCTTGCATCACAATTCTTGCCGATAAATAAATTACGTGAGCAACAAGAGGTATCTGATCACCTGAATCCCCAACAGGCGCCACGAGGTGGCTGTTTCCGACCATGTACTGCATGTCCAAGTCAAACGTCTGCTCATCCCCTGGGAACTCGACCCACATGGGGCGCATTGGTGGGGCTCCTGTAATTAACTTCAAATATTACATACTGAAATATTGATTATTATTCATGATAAAAAGCAAAATAAAGGACATAATTTGCAATTTATAACTTCAACAATATTGGGTGTGCATTAAAAAAAGGGACTCGTTATTGAAGTCCAGATAATAGCAAGCACCAACTTTCTAATGTTAGGATCATTTCGTGTTTATTACTACACTTCTCTTTAACTTCACTTCTTTCTTGTCAGTCCGCCACACACTTCTACCTGTCCAATCGATCTGAATTTTGCACACTTGCGTAAAGCCGCAGAAAATGCATGAAACAATTGACAGAATAAAAAAAATTTAAACTACAAGATTTGTTTTTAGATATTTAAAAATAAAATAAGAAATTCATTGTACATGTGTAGCATCGGAGTCACCGGCCTCTTTAGAAGTGTGGTCATAAAAAAGTACTTTTTAAACGCATATTATTTATAATTAAGATAGGTATAATTTTGTTTCAAACATTGTAGCATGAACTGTGTATGTTTCAAAAGTAAATTAGGATATAGTAATGAAACATTTTATGAAAAGCGTTAGGCAAGAAGAGCATATCACAAGATTCTGTGGAAGTTGCTGCTGATCCTGCTACATTCGCTCACACCAAGGACAGCAAAGCAGGCTTAAGGAAAGCTAGTGTCTAAATCCTAAGCTTTGGAACACTCAATAGGAGCATTGACCAGAGGGGAAGCCTTTTTTGAAATAATAAATAATAATAATTGAATGATTTTTGAAATGATTAATTTTCAAATCCAAGGTGCTCTTGCGTTGGAGGCATACACAGAGGGTTCCTATTTCCATTAAACTTGATCAACTAAATTTAAATATATTTATAATACGAGCCAGAATACTTATACACATATCAGCAACATATAACTAACTAAATTTAATTGATAAATTTATTCGATTACAAGTAGGAGAAAAGAAGGCAATTTTGACTGCAAGACGTAGGTAACGAGTTGATTTGGTTGCATCAACGTTTGACCAACGTTCTTACACGAGATGATTCATGGCAATAGTAAACATGTGACGACTTGCCAGTTCTCTGGTTGTGCCAGAAGAGCATGTACCACAGCGGCAGGAGGCGGTAGCGATCCTTGATAGCGCGTCTGATCACCGCCAGCGTGGGGCG